TTCAGCACCCAGTCAGTACCCATTCTGCTTCTTTTTTTTAGTCAGAGTTTTATGGCACTTTCAACACAGTAAGGTCATGTCATATAAGTGCCGAAAATTTGGGGTGTTACAAGAGAGTAACAAACACAAAAAAGGAGGAGGAGAGAGGAAGACGATAGCCCATTCGGCTGCTTCTTTTTTCCACCCCCCAGAAGCGAATACGACTCGCAGAGAGCGATCGTTGACGGCGGAAGCCTGCTAGGCTTGTCTGTATGACACTGTACGTGTTGCACTGTTGAGAGATGAGGAGGAGGGTGTGTGGCTGTTGGCGGGTGTGAAGTGAAAAGTGTGAAGTGTGAAGTGAGAAGTGAGAAGTGTCAGTTCGTGCAGTTGGAAAAGTTGTGAGGTGCAAGGAGTCGGTTGTTACGAAACGAACAGGAATAATAAAATTATGGATTCTTCGCTTTTTTCGTGACCGGTTTTTATTTTGTTTTGTTGTTTTGATTTGTTTTTCTTGTTTGGTTCTTTTTCCTCGATTAATGCACCGGTACCAACTTTGTCTGCTGCTGCATTATATCCTAGTTCACGGTTGTGGTCGATTTCTGTGTGCGTGCGGTTTATGTGGTGATTGTGTAAGTTTCTGTACAAAAAGGTGGTGGTGTCAGATCTTGGGTGAGGTGTTTACAACCTGTGGGCGTCGCTTGTGACACAGGCACGAAGTCTGTCCAGTTGAAAGTGAAGATGTGATAAATCGGGCTGTGTGTTTTGTCAATGTAGTTTTAGGAAGAGATTTATGCGGCACTCGCAGTACACCTAACCCTATCCGTACGTCGTGTTTTATTATCGTATCCATACGACGTGGGGAACTCTGTGCCTCCACTTTCCAAAAAGGAAATTTACTCGTTAATCCGATCCATACGCTTTGCATAGCAGTCTGTGAAAATGATTTTTTGAAAAATATCCAAAGTTTCAAAGGGATCTGCGCACTAGAAGTATTCTAGAATGTATAGAATACAACCCCGGGGGTACAAAATGACCCCAGGGCGTACGGATAGAATTAAGTCATACTGGTCACAAAGATTATAGGCGTTACTTGAGAGTAGGCCTAAGACACACAAAAATAGGGAGCAGAGAATCAGATAATGATGACAGAAAAACTATCTCTGTCGTAGTACTCTTAGGTCATAAAAGTGAGGAAGACAAGAGGTGCTACATGAGAGTAGGTAAAAAAATACAACGCGAAAATAGGGACGAGAGATTATAATGATGATAGATGATTGATAGAGAAAAAAAAGAGCAGACTACACTAGAGCGCCCGCTAACCACCCACTGTCATTGTATACTGGATTTAAACAAAAGTATGGTACCTTTTATCGCCTGGATCCAATAATAATACGTGTCACGACGCGGTGAAGTCAGGCGCTCGTCAATTTTTGGGCATATGATGTCATTGGTACTATGTGAAAGCTTATTCATTTACCTCACTTTCAATGAAATAGATATCTATCTGTCTTGATTAGAACTTGAGATATTTTCGATTGAAGGAAGTGAGGTCCCCTTGTTTCAGTGGTGAAATTAGCAAGAGAATGGCCGCCAAGGTTTGGTAACTCCAGTAGTTAAAGAGTCCTTGAAACCAGAAGAATGACATATTTTGTGCCTTTAATCAATGTTTCACATGGAAATGTGTTTTTATATGAACATAAAAGAGGCAGAGCCTAAAATAAAAACCGATTAAAATTTCCAAAATTTCAGAAAAATCCGTGTTTCTCCGATTTCTGTATTTTGACGAGCGCCTGATTTCACCACACTGCCTCACAATTTCGAAAGGATCATCGTACGTGCCCATCTGCTATGCCTGAGTCGGAGTCGTGACATCGATAAACGTATCGGATTTTCAACCGAAGAAGCTAAAATTGTGACATGACGGTGTCTACGAGTGGCTTTTGCATTGATCTCATGCGTGCTTGCGTCTGCGCCAGTTTCTTTCAGTTCTTTCAACATAAGCAAAGCTACAGTAGGCTACCTATGTGTGTCGTAAGCAAAGTTACAGTAGGCTTAGGCTACTTATGTGTGAAGTAAACAACGCTACAATAGGCTACCTACGTGTGACGTAAGAAAAGTTACAGTATGCTACCTACGTGTGACGTATACAAAGTTACAGTAGGCTACCTACGTGTTACGTATACAAAGTTACAGTAGGCTACCTACGTGTGACGTAAATAACGTTACACAAGGCTACCTACGTGTTATATAAGCAAATTTACAGTGGGCTACATACGTGTGACGTAATCACAGTTACAGTAGGCTACCTAGGTGTATAGTAAACAAAGTTATAGTAGACTACGTTTGTTGTACACACAGTCACAGTAGGTTATCTACGTGAGATGTACACAAAGATATAGTAGGCTACCTACATGTGACATAATCAAAGTTACACAAGGCTACATACGTGTGACATAAATTAAGTTACACAAGGCTACCTACGTGTGACGTAATCAAAGTTAAACAAGTCTACCTACGTTACGAGTGTCGTAAACAAAGCTACAGTAGGCTGAGGCTACCTATGTGTGACGTAAGCAAATTTACACTAGGCTACCTACGTGTGACATAAACAAAGTTGCAGTAGGCTACCTACGTGTGACATAAACAAAGTTATAGTAGGCTACCTACGTGTGACGTAAATAAAGTTACACAAGGCTACCTACGTGTTATATAAGCCAAGTTACAGTAGTCTACCTACGAGTGACGTTTACAAAGTTACAGTAGTCTACCTACGTGTGACATAAGCAAAGTTACAATAGGCTACCTTCGTGTGACATAAGCAAAGTTACAGTAGGCTACCTTCGTGTGACATAAGCAAAGTTACAGTAGGCTACCTAAGTGTGACATAAGCAAAGTTACAGTAGGCTACCTTCGTGTGACATAAGCAAAGTTACAGTAGGCTACCTTCGTGTGACATAAGCAAAGTTACAGTAGGCTACCTACGTGTGACATAAGCAAAGTTACAGTAGGCTACATATGTGTGACATAAGCAAAGTTACAGTAAGCTACCTTCGTGTGACATAAGCAAAGTTACAGTAGTCTACCTACGTGTGACGTATACAAAGTTACAATAGGCTACCTTTGTGTTACATAAGCGAAGTTACAGTAGGCTACCTTTGTGTTACATAAGCGAAGTTACAGTAGGCTACCTTTGTGTTACATAAGCGAAGTTACAGTAGGCTACCTAAGTGTGAAGTAAACAAACTACAGTAGTCTACCTACGTGTGAAGTAAGCATGGGTTACATCAGACGAATTAGTCACAAGAAAAAACCCAAAACAAAACAATATTATAGTTAAATGTATGCTGCGTAATACTTTAGATATCTAGTAACAAAAAACAAAAAACACCCAAAGTAAAATTCTCAGAAAGTAGCTCGTAAACAATCATTATAATAGGTCAGATCTCGTGCCGATCTGAGGAGTTTTTCATTTCACAATGTTGCGTAATAAAAAACGGTGTGGGTATCAGACAGGAGAAGAAAGAAAATAACGTGTTTACAGAAGGCGACAACTATGGGGGTGCTGTTTTTCCTCATGCGGAGAAAATTGAATCCACGTTAGAGAAATTCACTGATGTTTTTGAAGACATAAACTGATTGATGATATCGAATGCGATCGATTCTCAAAGGGCATCCGAGGGGTAATCATTTCATAAGTGTCTGAAAGAAGCTCTAAATTGGGCAAAGGACAAGGAGAGGAGTTTGAAAAACAACCAATTTGAAACATGAAGTGATGATTATTCGTATAATATGTGTCACGACGCGGTAGAATCAGGCGCTCGTCAATTTTTGGTCACGTGGCGTTATTGGTGTGATCTATAAGCAGTACTTTCAAGAAAAAAAAGTACACGTTTATCTTGAAAAGAAGTCAATATATTTGAGATAGAAACGGGTGGCGGTCACCTGGTTTCAGTGGTAAAATTGCCGAGAAAATGGCCGCCAAATTTCGGTAACTTCAATAGCTTGAGAGTAGTTGAAAACTGAAAAATTACCTATTTTGTGCCTTTTATCAACATTTTCCAGTCTATTCACACAGAAATGTGTTTTACTTGGACAATAAAGGTGTTGAGCAAAAAAACAAAAATTCAATAAAAATTGCCAAAATGGCGGAAAATTATCATTGACGAGCGCTCGATTTCACCACAAGGCCTCACATATGCTGCCATCGATTTCAACACGTAGTTCCTCATACAAGACTTTCGTTTCAGTAACAAGCACGTACAGCCTGATTTGATAAAGTAAATTATCGCTGGTACCCACCGACAAGCGGCACTTATGTAGGCTACTGCTTTCAAAAGAATTCATTAGTGTTTTCAGGACACGATTCCATTACGCTTATCTCGTTGGTGCTAATATATCGCTCTTGCTAAAGATTTCGGAAACTTATTCGCGAGACTTATTGAGTTTCGGATACAAGCCTACCTACCTCCGCACAGGTTTCATTTTGGACTGTAGTTCTTCTTCCTCGTTTTCAAGGTGCCTTTATTTCTAATAACAATCTGGACGTGCTGTAGAACTCCCAGGTTTATTGACTTTTTTTTCCTTCTGAAAGTGGAAGTAAAACGTAAAGTTGTTCCCGCATCCGATCCGGACATTGGGGACTGCCTTGTTAGTAAGACACCTTCCTGAGCCTTCGGCATATTGTGGTAGGGTGGCCAGTTCGTTCTCCACACAGCCTTTACGTCCCCAACTCGAAGCAATCTTCTACACGTACTCGTGCGCACACTGCCCATTGCTCCAGTGCCCCCCTCCCCCCTTCCACATAACACTGCTCCAGTGCCTCCCCCTCCTCATAACACTGCTCCAGTGCCCCTCTCCCAACAAAATGGCTAAGTACATCCCTCCAGCGCTGCTCCTTGCCCCACCCTCGCCTACGTCCCTGTCGCCCAATCGCCGTAAGGATCCACTTCTGTCCCCAGAGCTACGCGAAGCCTTCAGGCTCTTCGACAAAGATGGCGACGGCTCCATTTCCACGGAAG